ACCTGTACTATAAGGTGAATTAAAGATTACCTGACAAGTGAGATTCAGTAGTACTTAATACAGAGAAGCCCTATGTGGTACCCTAATTAAACTAAGATCTTTGTAGTCCTCCTTTTTTGCCCTGTTCAGGGGAAAAGCAGTATTTTAGCTAGCTAAGAAACGGCAGATCCTAAAGCCTTCCTGGTGTATTTAAGGTGGTAGCTAGGCCAAATACAAGAGCCTTATGAAGTGGTAATTACAAAGAAACCAATAAATTGCTAATCAATTGTAATTACAGGAAATAGTTAATGAATACATAAGTAAAATGGGATCATATATCTTCCAATTATAGTTAGTCAGGTACACAAATAAGCTGTAATTCTCAGATCTGTTTTGCCTTCTCCTATGTAATTTTAGATAATATATTCAATACACTTGGCCATTATAGAGTAAATCCGTCATATTTGTATTACAAGAGACACTCTGGTCCTCATTTGTATGTCAAATGGGTGATTTTGATACTGTCACACACTAGATAAGTGGCTCATTTTTTTTCTTTCTTGTAGTTGCTCAGTGATATTTTGCTACTTGTTAAATGAAATATGAGAGCCTTTTTATTAAGCTATAGTCTATTTTACTTACTATTTTTATTTGTTAGATTTTCAGTCTAGCTCTTTTACTAGATCTTAACAGGAGATGTAAAACTGGAAAAATTACAATCAGCATCTACTGTTTTGTAAGTAAAAAATCCCCTAGTCCAAATATGGGTTTGACATAAAAACCATAAACTTTTGCAAAGATAATTTGTAACTTCTATAACTAGAATTGGCACCTCTGCTTCCTTTTCACAGCATTCAACTCGGGCTCTCTTAATCTTTTCAAAATAGGACTCTGCCAGCTGCAGGGCACTGATTTCAACTTAGAAGAAAATCTGTTACTTGCTTGGAAATTACTGTGTTTGTGTGTGTGTATGTTAATACTTACAAGGGAAAAAGATGAGCCCTGATCAGAAGAGCTCTTATGAAAGAATCTCCACTACTGTTTGACCAGAAACTGTAGGGCTCAGATGAACTGTGGACAGGATAGTCTGAACATATCAAACCCTAGAACTTTCTAAAAATTGCTATTTTAACCATTTTTAAGTGTACAATTCAGTGGCATTAGGTACATTCACTGTCACCACTAGTTATTTCCAAAATTTCTTATCATCTCAAATAGAACTCTGTACCCATTAAGAAAAACTCCCCTTCTCTCCTCTCTCAGCCCTTAAGAACACTAATTTACTTTCTGTCTCCATGAATTTGCCTATTCTAGATGGTTCATTTAAGTGGAATCAAAGAATATTTGTCCTTTTGTGTTTGGCTTATTCCAGCTTAATATGATGTTTTTACAGTTCATCCATGTTGTAGCATGTATCAGAACTTCATTCCTTTTTAAGGCTGAATAATATTATACTATATGTATATACCACATTCTGTTTATTCATTCATCTGTTGATAGATACTTGGGTTGTTTCCACCTTTTGGCTATAATGGTGCTATAAACACTGGCATACAAGTTATGTATCTGAGCTCTTGTTTTCTATTCTATTCTATTTCTGTTCTTTTGGGTATCTACATAACAATGGAATTGCTGGTCGTAATGTAATACTACATTTATGTTTTGAAGGAACTGCCAAACTGTTAAACTGATTTCTATAGAAGTTGCATCATTTTACGTTCCTACCAGCCTTGAGCCAGAATTTCTTTTTAATTTCTCCATATCCTTGCCAACAGCTGGGTGTGAAGTGGTATCTCATTGTGGTTTTGATTTGCATTTCACTAAAGACTAATGATGTCAACTATCTTTTCTTGGGCTTATTGGTCATTTGCATTTCACCCCTAGAGCCAAAGGGATTAGGGGCTGGAAAAAGAGCAGTTAGAGAATGTTTTCTGGAGATAAGTGTTAACCTTCAGTAGAGGAATACAGCAAACCTGAGATAATTTTTGAGGAAAGAATACATGGGGATAAATATCCTTGACTCTTTTCCTCCCATTACTTGTCAGAATTCCCCATTAGCTCAACAACTAGAAGCCAGAGAACATGGAAGCCAGCCTCCTAAGGCAGACAGCAGAGTGAAGAAGCGTGGAGAATGGATCTAGAATGAAAGGCGGAGCAAATGGAAGCTATCCACAACCATAGATACATAGAATTCCAGTAAACAGATTTTAAATTGAGATGCTTCCAACTTACATGGGTGGTGGTGGAGAAGCATTAGTAAAGTCATACAGATATGTACAGCAGATAAAAAGATGATGGAACAGCATAAGCAAATAAATATCTGAAGTTCTTTTAAGTCCCATGGTGAGAAAAATTATTAAGATACATTCCTATACAAATACTTCATTTGTTTCTCAAAAATAATTTCCTGATGTTGGATTGAAACATGAATAGCTGAACATACAATATGTTCAGTCATTGTTGTCTACAGGCACTAATGACCATGCAGTTTGAAGAAGGAATTTTTCATGAAATAGTACCTGGTTTCTGATAAGGAAGACATTGGCTAATTTATTCATAATGTGATGGCTCTTCATTTATTACTTTTATTATCATATATTGTTATTTCATCTGAATATTCATGCTTCCAGATTTCCTTCATATTTTGAACTTTTAAATTTATTTGCACTATGACAGACTATAGAATTTCATAGTGTTTTGCATATAACAAATGACAAATGCTTTATAATTGATTATTTAATGAAATAAATTAGTTATCTATTTATTTATATATCTGTTTTAACCTTTATGGTAAAATTAGAACACAATTCTAGAGATTAGTACATTGAGTAGGATGCTTGAAAACATTTGGCATATTTAAGAAGATTAAATCACACAGGGTCTATTATTAGATAACCATCTTCCAAATGGTGAATGCTTTATAAAAATAGAGGCTTAAGCTTGTTAGCCTGAACAGCATAAAAGTTTATTTCAGGTCTTGGTTTCATACACTGGGAAGAACTACTGGGATCAGTAAAAAGTCAGAATAAGCCTACTGAAAAAACAAACATACAAAAAACAGGACCAATGGCAGCATTCAGACTCAAAAGCCTTAAGAATTTACTGAGTTAAGGGGATGGCCTGTAGAGTTCATATGGACTCATGTTTCAATTCTGGCTCTCAGACAGGCAAATTAAAGTTTGAGTCTAAGTTTTTCTCATATGTAAAATGCATAGAATAATGCCTCCCTCATAGAAGAATGTTGAGAAGAATGAAATAACATATGAAAAGTACTTGCTACTTACAAAGACCAGTCAATAACTGGGATTATTATCATTGTAAGGATTTCTTCCTAAGGCTGTCTATTACTTGGAACCCAGAAATATGTGCTTTTCAAAAGTATTTCTGTGGCTGGAATGTATTGATATGCATTATAATTGAAAATCGATATTTTTCATTGGAATGCTATGGCAATATAGTTTAATGTAGCAGCAGCATAAATGGTAGTAGTAAAATAAGAATAGTAATTATTGTCTAACAGCGTACATAAAAACAATTTAGACACCATGACTTTAGTTCTAAAATGTCCTCTTTTACTTAAAATTGCACGTTTGTCATTTTGTATACTGACTTTCTCTGAAATAGGTGTATTTAAATTGTTCCCTGTTAGATGCCAGATATAATTATATAAAAGAGGGGGTGAGTGAGATATGACATAACTAATATCCACTCAGATACTTCTTTAGTATGTTCAGTTAAGCTTCCTCATCAAGGCTGACCTTCATTTAGTGTCAAAAACCATTGTTACCATTAGCCCTGTACTTCTGAGACAAGGATTACTAGATGCTTAAAATGGTCTATGACCAAAAGTTTTAAAGTTCTCATCTGACTAGATTTCTAGATTATTCAGTATATATAGACATTAAAGAATATACATATTAGAGGGGGAATACTTTATCTCCACTGCTGATTTCTTTGAGAAATAATTTTTCTAAGTATATTCCTAACTTTCTTTTTGTCCCTCTATTCACTCTGCCTAGAGTAGTGGAGGACTGATTCATTTGATTGGTAAATTTGGGAAGGCTCTGCCTTGCCCTTCTTCCTTTTGGGAATAAGCTACCTGCATGGAGCAAACTACCTCTGGTACTTTTCCAGGAGCAGATTCTTCCTTCCCTTTAGAAAAAGGGACTGTCCTGGTTCAATGTTGCCTACATCTGGATATGTTCAACCAATCCTGGGGGATTTGTGAGCAAGCTCCATTTGGCTCTCGTCTTAAACTATATTCTCCAACTTGTCTTTTATAAAAAATAAGTGATATTTTTGATCTCTATAAGCTACTCTTTGTTTTATTTTCAGTTTGCTAAGAACATGGTCAGGGAAGAGGGAAGACATTTTACTTTTTCATATACTCCTTGTATCTGAAAGTTAGCCTGGTGATGGGTATTGAGGAGGGCACATTCTGCATGGAGCACTGGGTGTTATGAACAAACAATGAATCATGGAACAGTACACCAAAACAAATTATGTAATATATGGTGATTAACATAACAATAAAAAATACTAAGGAAAAACTAATGATGTAATGTATAGTGATTAACATAACTATAAAAAATTAAAAAAAAAAAAAGCTTTGAGCCTATAGTAAACAAAATCCCCAGATCCAATAAATTCTATCATGATCAGCTTTCAGAGTCCCCAATCAAGCCCCGGTGTGCTTCTCCCATGGAAGGTATTGAAGCTACTTCTGTGCAATTTCAGAAAGAAGTTCAAAAACAAAAACAAAAACAAGAAAACATCTTAGGTTATCATTTGGATCTTTCTAAGTTTACTGCTGATCTTCATGTTGCACACCGAGGAAAAAGCGTTAATTCTTTTACTGGGAAAAGGTGAACAAACTCTTCAGTTTAAGAATATAGTCAGAACTTCAAAGCTCATTTGATTTGTGACCAACTCCTGAAGAAATATACTCTTAGACAAACCATTATGATAGACAGGTAGATAACACATCATTATGTGCATATGATGTTTCTAAGTACACTTACCTCTGCTGTGTGCTTTGCCACATGCCCCACGATGACAATGACCTTCCCTTTGAAGCTCTGGAGCACAGCAGTGAAAGGGCCCTGGGTAAGCTCTCCTTCGGTAGTGAAGGCAGCACTAAATGGAATGTTGATGCTTCCTGAAATATGACCCCGAATAAAACTGAGAAGATTAAGGAAAAATTATTTGTGTGTAGACTTGAGTGTGTGAGGGAAACTCACAGAGGGAATCGATTCACAGAAGATAGTACATTAAAATCAAATACAAACAGAAACCAGATTTAAAAATTCCCTGAGCAGGGAAAACTAGTTTAGTCATACAAGCAAAGTTTAGTTTGGCTTATTTTGCAAGACAAGTGAAGCTAACTTAACCTTGGTCACTTCTTATGCCTCTGAAAATCATAAACAAAACTTAAACTGTTGCCCCAAATTGATATGAGGTAATCCCTAACCAATTCCCTTTCATTTAAGAAAATTCTAAAATTTTCAGAAAATAAAAAATATAAATAAACTGAAAAATAAAGTCACTGCCTCCACATTGTATAAGCTGCTTTATAACAATATACCCTTGAGCCTCACTCCATGTTTTTGTTTGAGTGCTCCTGATTTGTAGACTCTTTTTTGGTATGTGCACAATAAGCTTTTACTAATTACTATTTCAGTGATTCATTAGTTTTACTTCTGGTTTTTGTTTTTTTTTTTCCCCTGACGGTTCTTAACATCTTGAATGCTCACGTGAGTATTTTATCTAAATGAAGTAAGGTACCGCTAAGGAAAAAAAAAGTTAAATATGAAAACGGAATGGAAAAAAGAAAGGAAGAAGATGAGTGGAAAATTTAGAGAAGACTTTCCTGAGGGGCACCTGGGTGGCTCAGTTGGTTAAGCATCTGACTTTGGCTCAGGTCATGATCTCTGGGTCCTGGGATTGAGCCCCGCATTGGGCTCCCCACTCAAGGGGAAACCCTGCTTCTCCCTCTCCCTCCCCCTGCTTGTGCTCTCTCTCTCTCTGTCAAATAAATAAATCTTTTTTCTTTTTTTTTAAAAAAAGATTTTCCTGATTAAATGAAGTATTGCAAAAGTGATCAGGATGCAGCAAATCAATGGCAATCCCATGGGTTGCACAATATTCATTGCTTTCAGTTCATTATTATAACCATGATTATTTTACAGCTCTGAAAGTAATATAGTCAATCAGAAGTTCTCAGATCTAACTTGATACTGCAAAACCTATCTACTTTGGGCAAGTGACTGCTAAGCAGGACTCTCTTTAGAGTTGTTAGGTCATTAGCATTGATTGGAAACCCTTTTGTTCTTGGCTATTTCTCAAGTGAACTTAGTTGACATTTCCATTCTTTCCAATTTCATGTTCTCTAAGGGGGTAATGTGTTATTATATATGCACTTTAGAAGAGTTCATATGGTTTGAGTATTTTAATTTTGGAATTAAAAGCATATATTAATTTAAAATATTTAGTAATATCATATGATCTTAAAGTAAAAAAAAATATATATATATGCCCCCAACTAAGGCATAGTATATTTCAAGAAGTGGTAGATGATAAAACCAGAGAGGTAGATTAAATAATTATTATGAACTTAGTCTTCTAACTATTCTCAAGGTATTTAAATTTGTTTGAAATGTGAGATCCCATTTAATGTTATTATTTATTATCTGTCAGTAATATCTGTTCCTGCCAATAAATGTTATGACGTTTAACACATTGTGCTTCCTGTACTCTCCAAATTTGCCACAGAAATTTTAAAAATAAAGGCCCATATATCTTAAAAAAAAGAAAAAAATATACACCCCCCCAAATAATTTAAAAGTACAATTAAAAAGATAATTCTTCATATAGAGTCTATAGAGGAAGATGTTCTTTTTTTTAAGATTTTTATTTATTTTAGAGAGATTGAGAGAGAGAGAGAGAGAGCATGCACACAAGTAGGGGGGAGAGGCAGAGGCAGAGGGAGAAGTAGGCTCCCCGCTGAGCAGGGAGCCCGATGTGGGGCTCTTTCCCAGGACCCTGAGATCATGACCTGAACCGAAGGCACTTAACCAACTGAGCCACCCACATGTCTGAGGAAGATATTCTTAAATGTTGTTATTAATCAAATAACTCTTCAAATAAACATAAAACAACTGTGAAAACTGTTCTGAAAGAGATGGATAGGATACTCTGATAGGATATATCAACTTGGGGAGGACAGGGAAGGTTTTCACTGAGAAAGCAAGTGATAGCTGAGTTAAAATTGGAAGAATTAATAAAACTTAATTAGGCAAAGGGATGGAATGGAGGTGGGTTGGATAAACATTTCAGGCAGAATGTTAGGCTTATAGAGGGGAGGCACATGGCTCATAAGGAGAAATAAAGGAAGGCCAGTGTCAGCAGAATTTAGAGAGCAAAGTATAGCATGAGATAAGATGAGCTTGGAAATGAATGCAGAGGCCAGACAAAGCAAGGCCTTGTAGGTCATGTTGATAGTATTAGTCTTTATCCTAGAACAATAAAAATCAGAAAGTATTTTAAGCAGAGAAGTAACAAATCACATTTGTACTTTGGCAACAATGTAAAGAAAGGCTAGAAGGAGAGTGAATGTGAAGACTAGTTTATAGGAAGTCCAGGCAATCTGTCTTCCCTCCCTTAACAATCACTGATTGATGACCATGGAAGGGATATTTATGTGTCCAATAGAGGCATTTCCCCTAGACGTCTTTTAAAAAATGGAAGAGTCATAGTTTTAAACAGTTATGCCACAAGCAACTAATATTCCCCCCTCCCAAAACTCATTAGTCATCACTATAGAACGGGAAAAATTATAATTATTTATTGACATGACAGTTTCTCAATTGCCCCAGTTTGTAGTTTCGTCTTTAGAATTTTACTTCTCTTTTTCTGTTTCTCTGCCTGTCTCTTTCTCTCTCATTAATGGTGAGAGGAGAAATTGAGGCTCCTACTCTCAAGAATGATGGTGAAGATTGACCACATATCTTACATTTGAAATTTTCTAGTCAGTTGCTGCTTCATCATTTTTTCTTCAAAGAAAAGCATTTGGCATTAATAATGCAGGAAAGAACTACAAGTTTTGAAAAATAAAAAGAGAGGTAAAGTAAACATTAGCGTCCCAGTGTACATTGTTTAGTTAGAGTCTTCTAGAATGGACAAAGAATTTATGATCATGGGCAGATCACCCCTGGATTTCATCAGCACTAGTTTCTCAAACATTTAAAATTATTCATTATTCTCAACTGCAGTTTTCATGAACAGTCAGGGCTTTGTTCTCAGCATATAATTACTCTGATAGTACTTTTATCTTCAGTTAGGACATACCTTAAAATGAAAAATTTGGATACCACAAACTAAAGAATCTAACAACTCAAATATTCTGATAGTACTTTTATCTTCAGTTAGGACATACCTTAAAATGAAAAATTTGGATACCACAAACTAAGAACCTAACAACTCAAATATTCTCAGCAAATGATTCTACATCTGCCAGGCTGAATCAGTTGCCAGAGTTTCGGTGTTTATCAAACAGCCCTTATCAACTGTGAACATATTTTCTTTCCAGTGCTTTTACGGTAGCAAAAACAATACAAATCTATCCTAGAAATATTTAGGTTGTTTGCCCACCTCCCACTTTCTTGTTTTAGAGAGTCTCAACTACTGTTCCCAAGAAAGGGTGAGCCTAGATTGTCATGTTTGTATCAGATGATCCTTCCACAATCATGCCTGACAGGATAGTTGGGAAGGGAAGGGTGAAAGTGGATATCTGATGCAGGCTGAGCCAATCAGATTCTCTTCCTTGAAAATCAGAAATAAAAGATAAAAGACAATGCTTAGACTGTGTTAAGCTTTATAATGTAAGTTACATTTGAGTGTCTGTTATACAAAATTTGTTGTTACATATTAGAAAATTGGTGACTCTAAAAATAATCTTTATTTTACAAGATAAAGTCTATAAATATTTGGCTTTAAAAAGTACTCATTTGTACCCAAATACCCAATATCTAAAATCTGTATCTAAATTATAGAGGAGCATCTAGATGATTTTGTGAACTCAGTATCACCAATTTCTTATGTGCTTTTAAAGATTTCAGTCCAAATTGCTTTTTAGTCACAGATGTAAGTCATAAACTTGTTACTATCCTAGAATTTTCTGTTGGTTGTGCTTTATAGTTTGATTTAAAAAAATCTATATTAAATGTTCAAATGCTTGACAAAATATGATGGCAGCAGAGACTTTTTTGGAAGAAGAAAATTATAATACAAAATACAAAAACTATTCCAAACCCTTTTTAGGCTATCTTAACATTTTGAAAGATAAGGCACAACAGAAGTAAAACTTTAAACCACACTTCCCCTATTCTTAGTTTTGGTCAATCAAAAAGTCCTGGAAAACATTTAAAAGCACTCATCCAAGAACTTGCTTGTCATAAAACTTCTAGTGCAAGTAAGATTAGGTAAGCATGAATGCTTGTAGGGTGGTCAAACCTCTAAATATCTATCCTTAATTACATTACTGGCAAATAGCAGAGAATGAGATTGGCCTAGTTATATATTAATACATTTACCATGAACATGGTTGAACAATGAAGACAATTTCGATTTAAGGATCTCGCTTCCTTGGTAATTAAGTTCCTCTATCTACATTAGAAATTCTCATGTGAAACAGACATCATATGATGAAGCAGAACTCCCTTAAACAATTTCTTAAACATGTGAGAGGCTACCATATTATATTGTAAAGGTAGATAGTAGAATACTGTTTTTACTTTCTGAGTCCTCCATAATCATAATAAAATATTAGGTATCTGAAAACGGAGTGAAGAACAGATTTCTGTATATTTTGTGTTAACTGGACAGAATAAAAGTGAGATAGAAGGCAGTTTCTGACATATAGTGACTCTAACTCTCAAAGTTGACTCTGATTAGTCATGGGCAAAATATGGCAAGGAGAGCAAAATGATAGAGAATACACATCTGAGATAAGCACCTTCTCCATGCTCCAAGAACTATAGTTTTATTTCATTGTACTGCAGTGGATGACAAGTATGTATAGGTTCTTAATATAAGGCAGTATTAGAGATGAGCATGCAACAAGACATATTTTAGGATTGTGAGTGTCACTTCACGGCTTCCCTCATATTCTAGAAAAAAATCTG